ACAAACAAACAAGTGGGTGCATTTCAAGAATCCTCCTCAATACTGGCAACATTCTTCTTCATCTCAGACCTCAAAAGCGAATGGCCAAGTGATTCCTTGTTTTAACTGCCTTAAAGGCTCCCTGGACAGATGGGATTGGTTGGGATTTTCCTCAGCACAGGACAGGAAGACCTGTGCCATGCTGCACATTCTGCATGTCATTTATGAACGTGAGGTATCACATTCTGAAAAAAGTGGGAACCTATTACAAGCCATATATTACTGTAAAACTTGAAAAACATTACTGAATTGTGAATGATCCATGCTCCTTTTACTTCTGTACCATAAACTTTCCATTCTCCACTCTGGCTTTATCAAGACCAAATATTTGTGTTCTAGACTAACATGATCAGTCTTTACAACGTAAACTATAATATTTTCATTTAAATAAAATAATTTCTCCTGAATAAAATGTAAAATCACAAGTTTATTTAAAACAGACCATTATTTAAAGCTAGCCTAACACTAGAATTCCACTATACGCACTAGTTACTCCGGCATGTACAGCATTTTTAGTCCCTGCAGACAGCAAGATGATGGCTACATAACATATCCTGGATGTGGGTAATATAAAACATGTTTTACATACACATTTTGATAAGAACAATAAAACTTAGTTGGGGAGGCAGGATACTTTAATACTCAAAGCTGTTCTCTTTTGATAGCATTCAAACACACAGCACAGTGATGATGAATGGTGTCTACAATTATGTATTTTAAAAAATTCTGCAAGTAAAGTAGCATGGGGTTCTTATTTAATCTGTAAGTCCTAAAAAACCCCAAAACCTTAAAGTTGCAGCATTTGCAAATCAGTGTCCGCCTTCCTTACAAAGCACTCATCGCATGAAAAGTAATTAACATTTTCTGAAGCATTTTCAAGTAAACTCCCTATGCAAACAGTAGTTGGCAGTTAAACGCCATGCAGGACTTCAGGGCTATTGTACTTCCATTACTTGGTTTCAATCTACTTCTGGATCCAACCCAGGTACCAAACTTTACAGCAATGACAGACCTAGTAGGCAACACCAGTTTTCTTTTCACGTATCAACACCACAGATTCTAGTGGATTTTCAGGATAAGCAGGACAAGACTGGTACATCTTGGATAAGGAATGCCGTTAGAATGGAAACTAAATTCAGAACTTTGCTTGTTCTCCTGGAACGAGGGCAAGAGTATCCACTTCACTAGCTGACAAAAAAGCAATCCACCTATCTAGGAACAATGAAAAGAAACTTGTTTATTCTCCCAGAACTGCAGGATTTTCTACCACAACCATTTAAAACAATTACGCATTAATTTAATTGTTTTTACAAACACTCCAGGAATGCAACTTAGGAAACACCTAATATATTTTAGTCCTAGGGGTAGATAAATACACCTACATTACTGTGTGTGGCATCTGTGTTATATATTTGTGGTAATCAGTTATTAAATCCAGTATTCTCCCCAAAAGATTACGTTGTGCAGCACTTAAGGGAACCTGGCCTTCTAGCTACAAACTGTGCTGTTTGGAGCCTCCTGACCAGATTTAGCCCAAAGTACAATCCGTTTAGTTCACAGCAGCTTCCAGATTCCCAGGAGGCTCTGAAGCTCTCTTATGCCATGTGATAAGAATAGATACAACTATATTTTAATTCATATGATGAGTATCTCCAGCCATGTAATGAGAGCGTGCTTGCATGTACTTGTATACTCCTTCACACAGACAAGGTCTTCCCAGTATGCTGGTAGGGGGTGTGCCTGCCCAATACTTTTCTCCCCCATGGTGTTCAACCCTTAGCTGGCATCCATAGAAAAAAAACATTGGCATTATCGTTTCATGTTACAGACTGTGACCATGAGACTTGGAACATTTGCTGCTCTGGGTATGTTTACTCTGCATAATTCAACAGTATGCAAATACCTAAGCTAGATAAATATCAATTAAGATAGCTAGCAATGAGGTAGCTCCAGAAATGGAAACTACACGAACATGATAATCCACCCATGCTTGTTTATACTGCTCAAAGAATTTAGACACACAGTGCTGTATGGAAATACCTGCACTATTATTTACTGTAGGCATACCAGCAGCGCAAATTCCTTTGCAGGGCAAGAAAATTCCTGCAGAACAGGTAAAATTCTAAGGCTCCACAGCTGAGTGACAAGTCCTGAGAAGTGGGGAAAGAAAAAAAAAGAAAAGAGAAGAAAAATCTTGAAAAAGTTTCTTCAACAATGAAGATTTTGGCAAGAGAGGCAGGCGCCACTTCCACAACATTCCTTGAAGACGCCTTGGAAAAAAAAAGCTGGCTTTTCAACTGACAGTAATGAACCAGCGTATATGTATCTCATCAGAAATACAATCAAATCAAGTTTCAGAAGACTAGCACTCTCTTTTCTGCTATTATTTGAAAGTCAGAACAAAGACTCAATAAGGAAAGAGCGGTTTGTTTTGGAAAGGCTCCACAAGCTCCTTTCATATAAAAGTTTAAAATCCTGAAGTCATCAGATGTTTTGAGTACAGTTATTCTTTGAAGAGTGGTTCTAAAAATTATATTCTAATTGTTCCATATGTGTTCTCTTCGCATGACTTACATGTATTAACTCAGTTTGATTGAACCCCTCCAAAAAAAACCCAACACAGAAAGAAAAGTGAACATATTTTTTTCACTTATAAAAAAAAAGTATTATTAGATAGATTATATGTCCATCTATAATAACACTGTATTACATATCTTTTTATGCCAGACAGCTGCTCTTTAACTATTTAGTCTTTTCTGTAAAAAGAGGTTTAACATCTTTACATAAATAACTTGCAACCTGTAAGAACAGAGCTCAGGGGAGGCTTTATACTCTCTACAATTATCTGAAAGGAGGTTGTAGTGAGCTGGGTGTCAGTCTCTTCTCCCAAGTAACAAGTGCTAGGACAAGGTGAAGAAATGGCCTAAAGCTGTGCTGGGGAGGTTTAAATTGGATATTGGGAAAAATTTCTTCACTTAAAGGGTTGTCAAGCTCTGGAACAGGCTGCCCAGGGAAGTGGTTGAGGGACCACCCCTCTAGGTATTTAAAAGAGTGTGGATGTGGCACTGATATGGTTTAGTGGTGGACTTGGGAGCACTAGGTTAACAGTTGGACTAGACGATCTTAAAGTTCTTCTCCAATCTAAACAATTCTATGAGTCTATTCTGTGTTTGAAACAGAAACCTTTGCAAAAGAAACAAGATGCTTTATTTTTTATAACAATACAATACCTGCCTAATTTTATGTTCTCTGTACATCTGTTTTGATACAAACAATTGTCTTAACTAGTATATGCTCACTGACAGCACAGATCTAACAAAGGGTTTTCCATGTCTGACCACCTGAGTAAATGAATGAAGCTAGTGACCCAAGGATACGGAACAACCAGTCCACCAGTGACTAATTTTCATTTATACTCTCAAAGAAATACAAAAATTTTTGCATAGCTGCAGAAGGATGATTTTGGGTTCATCTAAACTAGTTCAGTTCCCACGAGGACTAGAGGAGATGGTAAGACAAATTCTCAACTTTGCACTCCTCAGGAGGCAGGAGAGTATAAAACACTTATTATTATATTATTTCCAACCTTGTGGCAAAACGAACCTTAGCAAAGACTTAAAAAAATATATTCCTTAGCTCAATTAGATACTTAAACTACAGAGTGCTATGTCAACGTGAAAATACTGTCAACACTAATGCAAAATAGAAGATATGCTTAAATTCAACAGTTATTTGTCAGACACCATCTGCTTTTTCCTTCATTCTTTTCCGATTCTGATCTGTAAGAAACCACATCAGTATCAAATATCACTTAGTTCTTACTCAAACAGAGCAATCCAGACACAGAGGCTGCACCAGCTGACTTAGCTGACCTGAGCCCAGAGTAAAAACAAACCCCTATAAATCCCCAGATGTAAGCAATTGAATAGTGATTAATTTAATTAACTGAACAGCTTTCCAAAGTTTATTGTATTGTTTTAACCCTTCAGGCTTCTTCAAGAAAGGTAACTTGCAATTTGTTTTCAAGGGCAGGGTTTGGCCAGAGGGCTACATATTAGTGTCATTAGACACTTTAGATTCCCATTGATAAAATACAAATCCCACACATGAAAGAGGTGTCTTTTCCCTTTTTCAATTAATAGTATTAAAGTAACTATTTCTGTAACAGTTCTTTCAACAATTAGAGAAACTACATCATAGTTGTGGGGGGGGAGAAAGGAGAAATCAAACCGATTTTGAGTGGAAACCTCAGGAATAACATTTCCTTTAAAATCAGCTGGTTTGGTTACTGGTCCTATATGCCTTTTACAACTTTATACTCATATTACAGATGCCACATCAAGTAACCTGCTCATTTCTTTCAAATGAAACAATGAATGTACATATAATTTTGACACATGATTATATCCATTAACTGCAGATACAAAAAAAAAAAAATTATGCTACACATTAAAATGGGCTCAAAAAGACATTTTAAAGATATTGGCAAAACATCGTCTAACCTAGATACTTGTCCTGAAGCTGCATCTCGAGGGGATTTCCCCATGTTGCCCACTGAAATTAATGGAACTCTGCCATGATTTAACACGAGTGGGATTTCAGCCAAGATGCATAATGATAGAGTATAACTCTTGTTTTAAAGTCTGCATTGTACAAGTTTGTATAACGTTTACTAATGTTTGTACAGCGTCTAGCACAACAGGGCTGAGGCTTCTGGGCACTACCACAACATAAATTAATTCTAATGCAGTCTTTGTATCTGAGGGAAGCATAAAAACTACAAGGATTAAGTTCAATTATACACATTTTAAACAACCTGCTAAATAATATGGCATAATCAACTTCTAACCACAAGCTACTCTATTTCCAATTATTTCACTTTAATCGTTGTAATGTACATATTTCCACAAACCCTGTGGAGTTAGTTCTACTAACTAGGGACAATAGTAAGATCTACTTACAGAGACAAAACCGTTATATTTGCAGAGACTCGTCCCAGATCTGGAATGATCTCCAGTTCATTGTTGTTCAACTTCCTATTAATGTTAGAAAATGGAGAGTCAGCTTTCATGTTAATCAGAAATATGTACATTGGACTTGCTAAATGGCTCAACAGTGTCATCCCAAAATTAAAAAAGAATTTCAGTTCCACTTAATGCAAAGTATCAGAAAAGCAAGCATCTTTGTTGTTTAACCAATGATTAGAAACAGGGATACAATTAGCATACACAAACATTGGTTGGGGTTTTTGGGTTTTTTTTTGTTGTTGTTGTTGCTGCTGCTGCTCTTTTTTTCAGGGGTTGATTGTTTGTTTTTGTTTGTTCTTTATTAAGACAAATTAACTTACACTTCCTGAAGACTATGAAGGTGATCCAAGAGACTGGTCTTGATTGAAGATAATTTGTTGTGACTTAAGTCCCTAGGAGGTTACAAAAACAAACAGCCTGTCAGTTTTGCCATAAACATAAATTGTGTAAAGCAATACAATTTCAACCCAAATTATGTTATCATTTGTTTCCAAGTACATAAAAAGGAGGTTTTTATTAATATAGATTAGTAAATTAGAATACAAACTTATTTGAGTATACAAGTATAACTAAGCATAAATACCTCGACTGGTCATTGCCAGCAGTGTCAAAGAATTTCCTATACCTCTAAACAATTTAGAGCCATTCACTGGGATGTAGTAGATATCCCAATGTCTAAGTGTGTAAGACCCATGAAAAACACCTTCAGATTTCTACTCATGTACCAACAACAACCCCTCTGTCCCATCCCTTCACAATAAATCATCTGGCTAATATAACCTCTTGATTACAAGGAAGACTCATAAACCAATACTCATTGCAGGCTCATTCCTTGAGTCAGTTGTATCATTTACTCTTCTTACTTCTTTAAAACAATGCATAATCTTAAGTACACAATGAGGACTGTCCACAAATCTCAACACTATTTGCATGCTTTCACTCAGTTCAGGACTCCATTCCTATATAAGCAAATTTAATGGTGATCTTAATCAATATCACAAAAACACAGGAAAGCCTAACTCTATTCTAAGATGTCTGTATACTGGTCACATTAATATCACAATCACACTTGGAGAAGTAGCTTGAGTACTCAGCTTGTGCCAGTCTGCACTGAAGATCCCAACTATATATAACAATGCAGCTTATAAGAAATCTTGTTAGGGTCTTTGCAGTGTTTCTACAAAATAAGCCAGGGTACTAGTAATGCAACACATTTTCTTGACCACTGTCAAGAAATTCTTTTCCCTATAGACACCATACATCTTTACCATGTGTCTTAAATATTTTACAACACGGTAAAAGAAGAGTCTTAAGAAGCTTTTGTGTAGCCTCAGAAGTAGCGGAACAATCACAGAAATAAAAGAATGACCACACAACAGAAGGCAGAAAAGCAATTACAGAAACGCAAGCTTGCACAGCCATAGAGATCTGCACAAGCAGCACAGATTCATAATTGCTTTTCTAACCATGGCTAGCCCTCTTGAAGACCTACCCCTTCTTAGTCACTCATCCACCAAAACATGCACCTTCCTGCTCATGCACTGCCACCTGTCACTAACTCACCTGCATGAATTCAGCCATCTGCAAAATGCTCACTGGACATATTAACACTGAGTTTTTCCAAGCCAGCAAACAAAAACTGCACTATTTTTAATGAGTTCTTAAACTCACACCTGTGAGAGTTTGCAATGCAGAATTGCACCAGCATGCTTCAGCAGTGAGCTGCTGTAGCATCACAAAAAGGCACAAAAATTTCTTACACTTCATGATACTTTTCCCTGTGCTAATTAAGCCGTGAACAGTCATTCAACATGCAGGGATCTCCATCAAGCCATGTGGGCATGAAGTTGAATGTATGAGGAAGCTTTCACTTTTTCTGGATAATATAACGCAGTACAGTCACCTACACTGAGCATGCCAAACACAGGCCTGACTGCCATGGATGCATCCACTCCCCATCCACAGTTCTGGCTGTGAAAAAACCTGACAATCAGCATACCGTTGCTGCACACAGCCCAAAACTGACTTAAACTGAGACAGATCTAGGGTTTGTGCTAGGTCTTGTGCTCTGTGACTAAATCCTGAACAAATGCAGATTCAGAGAGCTCCAGTTTCTCTACACCCACCTTTGCATCACCCTGAACACAGGTGTAATGCTGCAACCCAGCCAGGTACCTATGTTTCTTCAACAGCACACGGGAACGATAAAAACTTGTTTTATACTCCCCCAACTGTCTGGTGCTTTATGCAGTACTTGTTCAATATTGCCAAGACAATTCCTAGCATTGTCACTTTTGTCCTCCCCTGGAGTCAGCGGTTAAAAATAATATTAAAACTCAAACATTAAAAAAAAATCCCAGGCACATATGGGCATTACAAGGGGTACCATCAGTACTCAGTTATGAGGTGTGCTCTGAGCCAGCAAACTGGATCAGGCCCAGCCATCTGCAGAGCTGTGGCACTGGTGTCTGGCACACGGCCACAGGCAGGTAGGAGATATGCACCTACACCTTCCAAGCCAGGACTGCACAGGAGCATGCAAGAGCAGACCCGCAGCTGTGAAAGGCATTTTCCAGCACAAAAACAGGGTGTGAGGGCTGGGTGGAAGCCACCTAGAGAGGGAACACTATCCACCATTAGGTGGCTTTGGAGGAGCTGTTTCCTAACACTCCATTCTGCAGTCAACCACCTAATACATATCCGTGCCTTCCCCCAGTGTCTAAATCCCAGCAGATTTAGGTGTCTAAACCCTGACAGGCTTTCCTCTTCAAGATGGAAAACCAATACAGTGTTAACATTTTCAAAAACCCACAAATGGTAGTTTCATCATTATGATTTTGAGGTCTTCTGTAAATGAGGTTAACCACACTTGAGTTAGAGGACTGCATCTTTCACTGCTTAAAAATCTAGTGCAAACATTTGTCTGGCCATAGACTACTGAAAAATCCCTTTGTTTTCAGCACCTGAAGATATTAGCTGCATAGGTCTGAATTCTGCATTCTTAAATATAAATACTAAAAAAATATGCTGTTATAAATATCTAGATGGGACTCTAATTTGGTGCTTTATAACAGACAGAGTAGAGACAATTTTTACCCTTAAAGTTAATTCTATGTTTGGCTTTAGCCTGTAGGGATTATAAGAACTATGCAAATAAACAGCCAAAAGTCAGTGAAGTTATGCCTGTTAGTGCCTAATATGTTACTGTTCCTCATGCTTCAGACAAGACTTAGGAATCAGTAATTACTTCAACAAAGAGCGTTCAACAACAGTACTAAAAACCTGCATTTCTTCATTTCATCCAAAAACCCTGGAAAAGGTTTATTTAAAACATGTTTGCCTAAAGGACCTACCAGACAGCAACAGACGTGAGTAGATTTGTTCTGCTGGAGTTATAACATGTTAAAAAAAAAGAAAAAAAGAAAGAAAAAAGAAAAAACAAAATCTGGCAGAGTCCTTAAACTATAAATTCCTGCAATTACAACCACTGCTGTGCATGATCACCACACTGGAGCCAGACACTTTCACTCATAGCTCAAGCTCACATCCATCTGGAGTCTATCAAGGCAACCGTGAGCGTAACAACTTACACTAGGTTTCAAACTATTTATTTTTTTTGTGTTTGTTTTTTAACGCTAAAGATACCCTCAGATTTTCCAGGTAGCACCTACTTTAAAAAAATACATACATACACACAAATTACTCATTCCTGGTTTACTTACAGCAGGTTGTCAAACACAAGTTGCAAAAAAACCCAAAGCAAAACAACAAAAAACCCCTCTGCACAATACTGAATTGCCCGTTTCACACAGCTGTATACGTACTTGTCTACCAGTTGTTGGATAAAAAAAATGAATTATAAATATTTTATTAAACATTATTTCAGTACTATTGGCATGAGAAACTTCAAGGGGGAGAAGCCTTGCAAGTTACATATTTAAGTTTTTAAATCGCAGTAGTTAGAAGTGAACCAAGGGTTAAAATATTTGTCTTCTTACTAATACTCTTACGTGAAGCTTAAGCCTATAAAAGATTCTGAAACTTATAAGCACTGGAACTGAGGCATTTTTTAAACACAAAAGTTATCATTTCTGTTGCAAAGATGCAAGTATATTTCAGTTCAGTGCATTTCTCAACAGATCTTAAAACAAGTATGAAGAAATGGTTTGAAAATGAATCAGTATTTTTCCTTTAAAGAAATGGAACTGACAACGTTAAAACACTAAAATTATTACTATGCATTTTCCATTTCTGAATTTTCCTTGTCTGTTAAAAACCACATTACAAGTGGGGAGAAAATCTCCTCTGTGATTACTTTTGCTACTAGAATTTCAAAAGCCATGAAAGATGTAACAGTGAGTGAACTCAGAAACTTCAGAAACCAGATTTATATTAAGAAATTCTTTATAACAATAAAAAATATATATACCTGTTCTTCACCCCAAACTTCTAATAAAAGTGATTGAGCATTTAAGTAGAATTGTCTCCACTTGAAAAAGCATGCCATCGTTTTTGAGGCCCTTTAAGAGCCCGTTTTATGAATTATTTTCTATATTCCATTACATTTGTATGGCCATTTTTTGTAACCCACAAATCTCTGAATTAGAAAACTGAAAAGTATCACGGAACTTCAATGTCTGCATGATAAAAAATTGAAAGGAAGGCCTAGTGTGTAAAGGGAGAGCGTTTCTTCACGCATTTTATAAATACAACTTTTAGACTCTAACTTAATTTACAACACTTAGTCACAATTATCATCTTCTTCCTTAGAGAACTCAGAAACCTGAGCCCCAAGTCAAATTTTAAAATGCAAATCCAGCAACAGCTTCTTAATCAGTCCCACAGGGGCCTATAGAGCTGCTAATTCAGCAGAAATCAGGAGAGCTGAAAAACAAAAAGCCAGGCTGTAGCTGTTTTAAGACACTGATCCAAAGTGACTCATAAATCAGCTTGCTATGTTCAAGTTTTAGTCTGGAAAATATTGAAAAACAGCTGTGAAAACCATACAGCCCTTTTTTCTGGCAATCCTGCTAGAGAACTAGAGGATTTATAAAATGTAAATACTAAAGATGTAATACAAACACAAGTGAAAACCATCTTTCAGACTTTCCCTCCTGCCCCACTGACAACTTCAGTATTCTTCAGTGAACCTGGAGAGGGGTATGACAGTGCCACTGGGAGTTTGCACACATGGAGAGCGCTAGCCAATGCTCCACACTCTTCCTCTCTTCATTCCTCCACCTCGGGCCCTGCTACACCAGCTCTAAGAAATCCATGTTCCTGAAATCTCAGGACACACATCCTGGAAGTAAATGGAAATCTAACTCCAAAACTACTCGTACACAGAGCCATTACAAATGTTTATCAGTTTTCAGCAGACTGTTATCTTCCATACAAAAGATGGTCTTTTTGGCCAAAATGACAGTGAAGCTGGCAATTTTAGCCTGTTTACACCCATTCAATGAAGTCACTTCCGCACAAAGCAGTAGCCTTACACCTGCCACCAAAAGGAAGGGGATATAACTCAGCCCTCTGGCTCTTTGGGGTTTTTTTATTTCTCTCCTTAAGGTCATGCAGCCTTTCCACATTAGACATTCTCATTTTATTTCACTTGGGAAATTTTAACACAAAAGGCATGAAAGAGTGAAGTGGAGCTTCAAAAAAAGCAACTTCATCTGACCTGCTCTCCATCAGGGCAAGCAGACAGATGGGCAGAGGAAGGTGTAAAGCCTAACGCGGGCCTAGACCTTCTCAGGCACAAGAGCTCTCACTCTCCTGCTTGGGAGATCTCGCTTGCATATGTTGAGAACATGGTGTAATAGCTGTTTTCTAAAGAGGATTGGAAAGCCTGAAATTAAACTACTAGCCTTTGGCTATACCTGCTATGGCCTTCCATGGAAAACACAGTAAACACATACCAATAAAATTCATATGCAGTCTTTTATAATTCATAAGTGTACAGTTTGTTGCAACAATAATCCAGGCTAGTCAAACCTTTCTTTTTTTTTTTTTTCACATATGTAAAACTGAAAGGCATTATAATCTTCAGGATTGCACAATCCCAGCTCTAAATTCTGGGGTAGCTGGAGGTAACAGACAACCCTCCTTGTTCTCTTACTAAGAGCGGAAGGAAGAAAGAGGAGGGCACTTCTAAGGCATTTGACACAAACAAAAGAAATATTTACACAAAAGCGGCCAGACCACATGGTTTGGTGACACCTACAAAGATGTACTCCTGTGAGTTTAAGAGCTAGTGACACAGCTGTCCAATGAGTAATCACAGCAGGGCTTCTTACAACAGACCAAAGCTTATTTATACAAGTGGAACTTATTTTCTCACACTTTTAAAGGAATGTGAACTTACATAAGGACAATTTACACTACCAAGGGAATTCTAATTAGAAAAGCCTTCCTTGTGCCAACAAAAAAGCCCTGCAATGTGTTCTATTGTCTTTCAGTAACTGAAGTGGAAAAGACAAAATTTGGATTACTGCTAATGCAAAATGCTTTTTAAAGCAACTCTTAAAATGAAAGTCCTGAGATTCAGCCCCCCTTTTTGTATTTCTGTTTAGCATGCTGTCACACCTGAATTTTAACTGAACAGCCCTAAAGTAAGCTAAGCTAAGAAACTAAGCTATGAAGCTTAGCTTTAGTATCAAAAAAGCCTTAGGTTTGTCAAAATACTTACGCCAGCATACTGCAATAGTTCAAAAGACCAGGAGGAATGCAATTTAATAGGAAGCAAAACCAAGTTGTTGAACGTAAAGCAGATCCAGCACTTGGTTCAGATGCTTCACTCACATAAGAAAAAAAATTAAAAAAAAAAAAAATTATTTTCCCTCACACTTTCCTATACCACTCCTGGAAATATTCAACTCCCAGAGCCATTCCTATGCTCAGTTCCATCTGGTGTCAATACAGCCATCCACATTTCATGAGTAAAGCAGCATGACCTCCAGACGAGGCAATTGAACAGAATTAGCCACAACTAATTGAAAGTCTTCCTGTTTACTTTAAAGTCCTTATCTCAATCTGCGTTGGAAATGTAATAGAAAATTAATACGGCTAATACAGAAGATCTCTCAGTGACAAAAGATTGAAAACAAATGGGGAAAGTTCCTCAGATATTTTTAAGCTTTTAGAAAGCTTCCATAAGTTAGGCTTTGCCCATAAAAGTTTGTCATCGAAAAGTAATTTTCTACAGATGGAATTTCAGTCCACGTTACTGCGGATTCGGCGAACCCGTGACACCGGACCCAGCGGGGCAAGCCCCGCTCATAGAAAAGCCATTACAGACCCAACTGTAGGCAAATTGAGGTGAAAAACCGCCTAAGTAAAACCGAGACCCAGTTCTCCCGGCACGCAAGTCCATAGTAACTTTGTGACTATTACACGTTTTCCAACAAAGTCATCAGAACTTTCCTCCTCGCCCTCCCAAAACACCGAGAGGAGCTCCCGGGCCCGCTCTCATTTCCACCACACCGGGGCCGCAGTCCCGCTGACAGCTTGGCCGCCGGCTGCTGCCCCCCACCCCGCGCACCTCGCTGCCGGCACCGCCACGAAACACGCGCTTCCCTCCCCAGAAGCCCGTCCTCAGACAGGACCGCAGCCCCCGGGAGCAGAAGATGGCGGACGGAGCGCGGGCCGGCACCCTCAGCCCCCCGCGGTGCCCGCCGCCCCGGCACTCACAGTTGCACCGCCCATCGCGGCAACCGCTCGGGCAGCCCTCCCAGCTCCAGGCGGCTGCAGGCGACGAGGTGACCGGCGCAGCGGCAGGGCGCGGGGCAGCGGGCGGCGGCGTGGTCCCCCAGTAGAAGCAGCAGCAACAGGAGGAGCGCAGCGAACACCCCGCGGAGTTGGCGGGGCATGGCGGGCTCAGAGCCGCTGCCCGCGCTCCCGTCCCTGGGGTTCCCGCACTGACAGACCCGGGCGCGGCGAGACCTCCCGCCTCTCAGCGCGGGTGGCAGCTCCCGCTCATGCCCCAGAGCCGCCGCCAAAGGGGGAAGGCGGTGGGAGAGGGGGATGTAGGAGAAAAGTAAAGGGAGACAGCGGCAGGGGGCCACAGCACCGCCGGCCGCCAGCCACTCCGCAAACTTTCCGCCGCCTCAGCCCGCCTCCGAGCGGCCGGGGGAGCCCCGAGCACGGCCCGCCCCGTCGCAGCCCCCTCCCCCTTCCATGTGACGGCCGCACCCCCCGACCGCCCCGTCGGGCCGGGGCCGGGGCTGCGGGTGTGGGGTGGCGGTAGGGGTGCGGGTGGGCTGGAATTGTGCCCGGCTCCTGCCAGGCCGTTGCAGCATCCCGGGCCCTCTGCCCGGCTCCGGCGACAGCCGGCGGGTAACCTCGCAGCACAGCGGGCGCATGTGTGGGCCCTTCCTCCCTTTGCCGGCCTCACTAGGGGCGGGCAGAAGCACCGGGCTGCCGTGAGCATCGGGCACTGCTTGCCCTCGGCGTCACCCGCTGGAAGCGGGCCGAGCCACGAAAGCAGGGGCATGGAGGCCCTGCCCGTGCGGGATTCCCCTTCACCATTGCACTGGTTTAGCATGGATTGGGGCAATCCAGAAGCTGTTCTGGAGGCCCCAACGTCTTCCCAGCCAAGCCTGGGGTCACTGGCATGTAAAAGGTGAGGTGAGGTTAACTCCTGCCTTCTGGGTCCTACTCGGCTAGTCCAGACACCGTAATTAAGCCCATTATATTCCCCACAGGATCCCAGCTCCAGAGGTTCAGGGAAGTGGGCAGGGCGTACAGATTCCACATCTCTGAGGTAATCTATGTAATTTAAGTAAATACCTATTGTTCAAGTTCCATATGTAAGCCTGGGCCTTGCAATGGATTCAATTACTGTAGGCTTCACACACCCCTAATATCCAGCAGCAGACATCAGACTGCGCACAGGCGCTGTGCTATCTCTCCTACCTGTATATGTTTCACCTGAAAGACTGTAGACATCTTAGGCACTGGGAACCTGGAGCCTCAAAAGCCTGACAGCTCCGATATAAAGATTTGTAGGGCTGAAAATTTGTCCCTGTTTTTATTGATCCCATGTGTATCTCAGGGTGAAGCTGAAATTAAAGAAACGAAACTACATTTTAGTCAGGAATCATGAACTCGCACAGCCAAGCTGGCAAGCCCCCAGTGACTACAGGCATTCATGTGCCACTGTCAACATAACTGTTTCAGATGCATAGAGTGTGTGGTGTTCTGTCAGCTTGTGCTCTATTGACCACTGGTGCTCCTTAAGGAAACTGCTGCGGGAAAACAAGCAAATACTACAGGGGCACGCATTTTTTTCTACACTTCAAGCAAGCAAAGAAACAAAATAGCATGATAAAAAGTAACTAGTGTATCCTTACAAGTTACTAGCATTTATTTCTTGTAAATGAGTACTGATTTGGCATCATTGGCATGTCATAGTTGTTCAGTTTCTTTGCAGCTGCTGCTTTGCTTTCAAAAATGTTGACATGAGATGAACAAAGCCCGTGAAACACTGAGCTGTTCTAAACAGCCAATGGCGCAATGCTAGATTCTGATTTTCAGAGTTATCCGCTTGTACCTGTTCCCATTGAAGTCAGTGGGAAAGCTTCCTTCTGTTTCCAAAGTGTCAGCATTTATTCTAGCTGTCCAGTTGTTTCACACCATTATACTAAGATACAGAGACCCTGAATGTATTCTGTTAATTTAGTTAAAATATGTTATACTTGATACTTATGCAAAGTAATCAAAAATTCAAGAGGAAGACCTTCATGTTTATGTTGCTCAAGTGAATTATTGAGCACCTTACTAAAATTAAAATGGATTTAAAATAACTAAGCCTTGTACTACAGTTCCCAGAATGCACAACAAAGAGCTTCTTATTTGGGAAAAATGAGCTTGTCTTATCTTGAGTGTTGGCAAGGGCAGCAATTCACTAGTAAGTAGCAACAGAGTTGTTAAACTGTCAGTTTTAATATCTGAAGGAGAGGAAAAATGGAAACAAAGCATTTTGAACTTATTTTGTCATAGCAGTCAGTAATATACACAGTGCATATTTGAACTACAGAACAAGAAAGAATCTTAGAAAAGAAAGCAGAAAAAAAAAGATGAAAATATTGAAAAGGGCAAGAACTTCTGTTTCTGTGATTTTAAAAACCACTCATGCCGTCATGGAATACTGTGCCCTTTGTAAAAACTAATGCACATTTCGTGCTAATATATGAAGCTGTTTTAAGTTAAGCAAGGTAAATCAATTCAGAAAATTAATCCATCTGTTTTTGCAGCTTCTTTTCTCAACATACTTAATAAAACATTTTAAAACTGATCGTGTTACGAATTCAAAAAATGCTTATGTGGTGTACTTCAGAGCTCATGACAGAAAGTCTTTCTTCCCTCAGGGGGGTTTGCTTTCTTCAGAAGTCTCAGGGACCAGTTCTGAACCTGATTCGAATGCTGCAAGTGCTGGCAGCCCCAAAGCCCAGGGGTCTCTTCATCATTATGTGAGACCACCATGACTGTATGTAAGCAAATGCAAATGTCTCCTTCACAGGTGTGGCTGGACTATATCTGCCCTAAGTAAGCTTGCTTCAAAACGAGAGGCTTCACTGTCTTCTACCCTGCTATCTCCGCATGTAGCAAGGGATTTCTGATGACACCTGTCTGGCATCAGCATTAGTGTAAATGCATATTCAAGAGGATTAAGGAACTGATTTTACTGAAACCCCATCAAAAATAATAACACATACACACACACACACACCTCTCCACCCTCCTCCCTTTAGTTCTGAGTAGGAATAAATTCCTTGTCCAACTCTCCGTGTAGCTGCACAAGGAAGAGGACTTGGTGGTTACACAAAGACAGGCCCTTTCTATGGCAGCCTGAATATAGGTCAGCCTGAGGGGATAACAATGAGGAGGGGGAAGCACTGCTGCAGAAAAAAAATCTTGTAAAACTAGACCTTAAAGCTCTCTCTTTGGGTAAAGAGATCAGTTTCCTCCACAAGCCTGCTGAGCATTGTAGACTGAGTGAGTTGGGAGTGGAGGAAAGGAGGTTGTATAGTGATCTGTAGACCCTTCATTGGGATGTTTTGGGTTGACTCTAATGGTGTCTTTTTTAGTTCCTGATTATTTTAAACCAGATAAACAGGGGTTTACAGATTCAAGTCCAAACATATGTTGTTTAAAATATGCATTCACTTCAGGCAAAAGACACACCCAGAAGCTGTCTAGGTATAATTTTTTTTACATATCATTAACACATTGAAATCGGGCACTGCTTTCAAGTAACCTACCTTCAGAAAAGGTCAACTTTGAATCAGGCTGGTTTTAACAGATTATTGCAAGTAATTTACCTATTGCTAAGTTAAGCAAAACCAATTTAGATACTATGCATTTTCTGTTCTGAGTTAAAATTATGTTAGTAGCTTCAACTGTTTAATCTAAATTCAGTTGTTTTAATCAGTTTTCAAAGGAGTTTCAAGACACTAGAGACAACTACATATAGTTGTATGCAGTTCTGTATAGTTAAACCTGCAGGATTTATGTCAGAAGGTCAAAAGGAGTGAACATTTACACCTGCTAAATGTTTATGTTCATTAAGGCCATCCTGGGAATCAAAGAGTCTCCCCATGTTCTTCTCCTGGATCACCAGGTAATCCAAATCTGTGTCCAGTATTTGTTTCAGATTTTCTACTTTTCATGGGTAAATAAAGTGGTTTAGGTAGTGTTCAGCAGCAAAAAGCAGAAGCAAAGCAGAACAACTTTTTTTAAGCTCCGACACATCTCAGTTCTGATGGAGTGAGATAGATATCAATCATGCATCTATCCACTTTCCTATCAGGAAATGCTCCTCTAGGAGTATTAGCAGAATTAATGTCCTGTCTATTCCTGAACTTTCCCAGTTCTATTTTATTTCTAGTCAAAGAAGGTGTTTAGGACTATCTGGGAGAAGGAAATGAAGAGTTCATCCTCTCAAGATCATCACTCCCTATCGCAGGTTCCTCAGTTTAATCTGTTAAAAATAGTGATAAAAAAATAATCTTAAAGCTAACAAAACTTTTCCTAAAGCCATGACTAGAGAGAGAGAGATGAACCAGTGAGACCCATCCTACTTAAAAAACAGAAGTGGAGGAGGACATGCTTTTTGTGAAGGCTGCTTGCATACATGAAATAGCTTGCAATAGGCAATAGGTTTTGCCTCAGGCACTTGTCTGGAAGTTACTAGACAGTTACACAAAAACTCCCTACTGGATGCAGAGACTTGGCTTCTTCACTTTCTGTGTGTAAACAAGAACCTCATCCAATATAATGGAATATATTTCATGGAAATTACTCTAAACTACTCTAAACCTCTAAAGAGGTTTCCTACCCTCCTTTTCTTCTGCCCATTGGTTATAGCAATTGATACTATTTTTAATTTATAATAGCACTAAGACTTCATGGCCATTTATTTCAGTTCCTATGATTAACCACTGCAATTTCACTTGCATTTGAGGAAAACAATAAAATGTTCTTAAACAATTTCCTAGTAACCGCGAATCTCCTGCTAATGTGTCATAAGTCCATGGTGAATATCCCAAGGTACATACCAAAATTTATTTTTGGTAGCAATTATACGTGACTTTGTGTGATCCAACACTGATGCTATGAAAACCAAATTAGGCATAATTTGAATGCACTGATTACAACCAGAAAAGCTATATGAACTCTTTCTGAAAACTTTGCCTAGGGCAGAAAATGTTCAGCTTTTATAGAATTCATCCAAACAGTGAGTGTTTGCCTCCATTACAAATAAACTTAAACATCCTAAGGCAATCCACATTAGTGACATTGTTAATGCCTTCAAGTCATGTCCTGCATGGGGCTAAGTGGGAAGTGAGGTGCATGATTGGAAAGACAATTAAACAATCAACATCTACAATGATGTAACTTCAAAGAGAGAAAAAGAAGAGTTAGTTTTAGGTCATTAAGGAACACTCCAGTTGAAATGTTGTCAATTTAAATAAAAATAAGTAGATGTAATTTCAGGATGGTGCGACTGTAATGAAACACCTGCCATGTCTGTTCTACTTGTTGTTTTAGTTTGTTGGGGTTTTTTTAAATAATCTTTTAAAACGTTTTGTGGTAAGAAAGATCAAGAAGTGGCCAAAAAGGGAATATGAAAGAAATGCCCTGTCTAGCCCAGCGGTGGCTGTCCCAAACAGTAATGTGCTCAGCTCTTCCCTCTTCCCCTTCCTTGGCATGGGGAGGTTACTGCACCTGAAGCACAAACACGTGTTCCCTTCTGCAATGAGGATGGAAATTTCTGCCAGAGGAGAGGTGTGGGTGCTTGAAGGCTGTATCTGCTTAAATCATCACATGCAAATTTGGTAAGATTTTTGTCAGTGTTTTGCAGCCCCCAATGTTAAGTATTCACCACATTTAGGTGTGTAACTCTCACTGAAGTCAACAGCTTAAGGAATCTCACACGGAGAAATCAATGGGAGTTAGGGCCTAAATCTCTGAAGAATTTAGGTCTGATTGTCTGTTTCAGGGAGGGGTAGTGGGTAACAAGCTGCAGCTGGGACTCATATTGTGTAATTTTAGCAATTTGGGAGTTTGGTATCTATTCTAAAGCAGTTGGCTCAGTTTCTTTTATAGTCAGTGGAGAAAGACACATCCAGAGAGTGATTACTACCTTTCTAAAATAAGCGATCAAGGCATTTGGAATGAATCAGCCTCTGGAGGATTTTCTTCTTCTGTGCTGACTAAAAGGACCTTTATGACTGGTTTAGATAGACCCTGGATTTTTAGATTATTCCCACTTTGTACCTTCAAACATACACTTTAAATAGCTAAATAGACAAATATGTAAGTGTATTTCTCAAACGTCTTCTATAATAAGTACCTTAAACGTTACAACAGTAATAAGCAAAACTTATCACAAATACGAATTGTAGTTTTTAATTTTATTATACCCCTGTAGTAGTTTTCTTTGTTGTCTGCTGCTGTAATAAGTTGTATTAAGGATTTATTAACAGATTAAATCTTATAAGATTTAGAGATTTAGGGGAAGTACTGTGCTTAAGTGAAGCATCATATACAAACAAATACAAAACAAGAAGCCTGTGGAAAATGATCTAGTGCACCACAAGCTAAATAAGTATGTGTCAACAATGTGTCAACAATGCAACTGATGGGTTACATCAGCTGGAGTTTTCTATGTGAGAGAAAGAAAAAACTGTTCAATTGAGGGCTGAGATGAAGGATTGTATCCTATTTGAGGGGGCAGATGTAAAAGAAGAGGAGTGGAGTGGAGTGGAGAGGGCTACAGAAAGCTGGCAGCAGGCTCAGGACACAATTTACAGCTCTCACAAAATGAATACCTAGTGTCACAGCACAGCACTTGAGATTTTGCACAGAGCTATCGCATTGCTATCACTGGGGAGCCAGTGAGTGATAGCAGACTGCAGTGTCGTCTGAACTTGCTCCCCCTGTTTTGCTGTCTGCTGCTTGTTGCTTTCCTAATTATTATATAAAACAAAATAAGCAAGCACTGTCCCAGTAAGAAGTTGGCCAAACACACATTGCACCACTTCCACAGCTGCTCAAGTGGTTGCTTGCAAAAGCCATATTTGCCAATAAAGTCTGACTTTTCTGAGCTGGAGCATCAAAGCTGGAGCATCAAAGCTGGCAGCAAAACCAGCCTGCTGATCTGGATGGGCTAGGTGCCAGCTAGAGCCCAACAGGAGATGCAGCAGTCACCAGCACTGTGTACCAGCTGGCCAGATTGGTGAGCAATGTTCTGCAGCACGCTCTTTGTATTGATCTTGTTAATATGGAATTGGGAGAAACTGCAAAGGATACTGCTATGAATCCTCAACACTTTTTGGAATCCTATACAAGCAAAACTTTCTATGGCCTCTTTTACATCCCTCATATTCAGGCAACATGGTCTGGGGAGCCTCTGAAATGCAGATGTCACCTTCCAAATAGCTCTGTGAGCTGCCAGCTAACACTAGGAAACTGATGTTTGTTCTTTTCCTAAAAGCCATGGCACCTTTTTGGGTCTTCAGTGACTTTGTCAACTGGGTTTTCTGCTTAGGGTAAGCTAATAGAACAATCAGCACACATTTCCATGAATGTTGTCTGTAGTTTTTCCTTTGTTGTTTTCCCTCCCAGTGTTGCAGCCTACTCATCTTTCTTATTCATTGCTCCCTTTCACTGGCCTCTCTACACTCTATCAAAGGAAATATTTAGCAGTGCAGAGAATTGCACGTGTTGAATCTTGAAATACTTTCCTGGTTGTGTGCTGTCATCTCTGAACAAGAAACATCTGGGTCAGAGGTTCCTCTTGCAGTTGTGTTCTTTAGTGCTGTGTCAACTTATGGAGAGGAAATAAATAGGATAAAAGGGTGTGATGCTTTAACATTGCTACAAGGCAAATAGCTCAGTGTACAGTTCTCTTTGGACTCTACTGGCCCTAGCAGCAGAAAAAGCAACCTTCTAAGAGATACCAACAATAGTGTCAGCATCTTAACTCATCCTGGGTGAGTAAGACCTAGTGCCGCAGTGAAGGTTATTAGGTGCCTTCGCCCACTTATACAGTGTCAAAATCAAAGCAGTACTACCACATATGTGATCAGGCTGGGCACAGGTCTGGCAGCAGTG